TACTAAGGGAAAACAAATAAGGAACGAGATAAAGAATCAAAGACGGTTAGTAACGTGTCAAGTAGTCGAATAGTGATTACATAAATACACCTCGGAATAAATGCTCCATAAACGCATCAAAACCGTCGGCACAAAACGTCGCGATTCGTGCTCTCTATCTACGATCGGCCGAGTATGTACACGGAAATGAGCTCGCGGTTCGAAATACGGACGAAAAGCAGTGCGGGGGTGCGGTCAGAACGGGTAACAGTAATTCAGCGGGGACCAAGACTAGATTCACCTGCCCCCATGGTTCAAAGAAGATAAAACAGCCCAGCGCGCTGGTCGCGCTCACATTAGTCGCCCCGCGTGATTTACTGCGCGGCCAGTATGATTCAGTCAGCGGGGAATTTGACGAAGAATTAATGGTATTATGATATCGTGTGTAACTCTATGTATGTGCGCCCGGGCCATAAATCAGGCTGCATTGTAAGGCGCGGGGGGTTGCCTTCTCCTTCTAGTTCTCTCGGGTTAGCTCGAACGAGGGCCTCAGATCGTTCGGCTCGGCCCCCAAACGGGATACGCGGCTCAGATCTTTCTTATACAAGTTTTGGCTTCCTCTCCCAATCGTTCGCATCGTGCCCGCCTGGTTAATATAGCATCCTTTTACTTCGGCTTACGTCTTTTGCGCGATTATTTCGCGTATACATCGATTCGCGAGAAACGAAAGGTATGAGCGGACTCGCTGGTCTATATTTCGGTTATAACATGTATTACAAAAACAGGATCTTATATATACGTGTATATATTTAGCATAATACGACCTTATCTTAACGACCTTAACAATTAACAGTTTTAAATTTTTGTGGAATTCCAGCTATAATTAAACTACGAAGTAATATTCCATAGTAGTGCAAAAAATCAAGATTGCTGGTGAATTATAATTATCTATGACGATAACGCTGAGAATTAATGAGAATAATAAAAAAATTAATTTATGTGTCAAGCAAATAAAATATCAATTTTTTTTTAAGTCTAAAAAGCATTAGAAAATAAATAGTATGGTCTATAGTGAATAATATCATTATAAATTCTACTAACGCGAGAATAATTACCGCATAGCAAAGAGTAACAACGAAGTAAAATCATAAATCTTGCGCGAATGCATGGAATGCAGTGGTCCTGAGGAACACGCTTGAAATATTTATTTAGCAGCATTATTGACCTGTTAAAACTGTCTTCTAATATTCTCAATGCAAAACCTTTGTCTGAACTCTTAGCATTTATTTCTGACAAACTTCTTCAATTGTTCAACTCTTTCAATTGTTCAAACTGTGTTAAGACGAATTTCAAGGACATGTTTTCTTTTGTAAAGGAAATTCTTAAAACTTATTTCAAATCTGAAATAAATCGACGATTATCGTTATAAATTTCTAGCATTAAATACGAGAAATTTTTTAAAATTATTTGAACAAACATATGGAAATTAAAACTGTATGCAAAATAATCGACCAACAAATGAAAATAAACAGTTCATATCTACATTAAGAGGAAAATAATTGATTCGACGAAGTTAGTGCTCAACATAAGACACTCCGTTTAGACTTCGTCCAGCCGTTCCGACGCTTTTGAACCCGTTGCTTCTTCTGATGCATAAACGTTTGAACACTAGATTTGAAAAAATAAACTGTTTATTAATAGCCAAAAGTACGAATAAGAGAATCTCGCTTATTCGAAATAGTACATTACTGTATGATTTTACTACTCTGCCTTATGTGGGAGAAAAACACTTCTATTAAAAATATAAATTATTATTAACATACTTATCATACCATTCTACAATTTGCTAAATGAACAATTAAATCTCTAGGCATATAGTGGCTCTACGATAAGAATATTTAATAAACATATAAAATTAAGTTTAAATACAAATGTTCCAATAATATCGAAACAGTAAGATATCATTTTATAATTATATAAATAATTTAAAACGATTGTATAATTATGATAAATATAGAATTATCGTTACAAATAATAGCATAATTATTTGTGGAGTATTGGTAATTTGGAGAAAAAGAGAAGAATATTTTGAAAGAGACAAAGTGATTAGGCAAATGAAAGGTTTAATTTACTTTATGAAAGTATAATAACAGACCGATTATACTCCCATAAGCAAAGCTGACGTAAGATAGCACAAGAAAAAAAATGTTTTCTTTAAATCGATCAATAGCAAAAAGTGTAATCACGGTTTCTAATTTTTATTATATTATCGTAGAAGTTTTATCTTCGGTATGTTTACTGTTTTTGCGCTTAAAAATTCTCCTCACGCTTTAAATCATTATTTTAATTATTTGTCGAATATTAGAAGACATGTTTTAATAAAAATTGAAATATATTTATAAAAATCTAAAAAAATTTTCACTATTTTGGAAAAAATTATCTGGAATACGTCCTTGCTGCCGGCAAAATCACGCAGCCACAAGCATGTGGGTCATCTTCGGGATAAGTAGCAAGTCCGAGATAGGTTTGAGATAAGTGGCTATCATCTGACGAGCAGCAAACGCGAATAAACATGCAATTGATGTGTGAAATGAACAGTTCTGCAGTTTATTTCCGAAATATCGACCTGTGTGTATGCGAGTGGGCGCCCGCGCCACAGCCCCTGTTTAGATAAGCAGAAGGTCGTTTTCGTCATGGAGTCTGTAATTATGGGCCGATCATTCCGCCATAAATAAGGATGTGCGGAGCGCCGCGAGGAAAGGCACGTTTCTGTGTCCCGATTGATAGATGGCTACCAACGTGATTTCCAACGTACGAATCCCCCACGCCGGAAGGGTAGACAGTCGAACCAGTAGAACTGGATCTCACTTAATGCCCTTAGCACATTTACACGTCATAAATATGTGATAGTTGGCGGAACAATTTTCTTGTCGAGAAATGGCGTCTACAAATGATTTAAATGAACCGTGATATTATGTCAAGTTCTCCTGATTGCCATTTTATTGGATTAATTTGTCATAATTTCTACGTGCGCTAAAGTTCCCCGTATTTATGATAATAACGAAGAAATAGAAAACGGTTTTTTGTTTATTGCATTCTGCGTATTGAATTTCGATATGGTGCAGATAAAATAAGTACAGTGCCTTAAGCAAATATGCATGCGTGATGTACGTACGGTTACAGCGTACCTACTAACAGGAGAGGGAGATACGAGGACGAGCTCAAAGAACTGGTTTTACTAACTACATAGCATACTGCATTTTTACCCCGACGAAAATGTTTTTATTCCGAGATGCTTAATCAATCCACGCCATACGTACGTATGTTCTAAGACATTAGGGTTAGCGAAATCTAGGATTGTTCGTCATCGTCTAAAAATAATTTCACGATCATAATTCTTTAGAAAATTCATGTTTAGCTTATTTTTCCTCGTCTTTATAAATATTGCTTGTAAAGTTAATTGTTAACTAGTGTAGTTAGTTGTTTATTTTGTTAGCCTAACAAAATAAACTAAAAATTAATATAAAAAGAAAAATATATTCTTATAATTTTACTAAATTTAATAATATGATCCATAGTCATCGTAAAATAGTAATGACATAAAAATGATAGTAACATTATTATCAATAGTATTTTTCTCTTATGATTATTATACATAAATACTGGATATACAACATACATACATATGTGCTAAATGTTTTAAATCAGCAAAACATACATACTCTATTTTAAAGTTTAATTCATAATTCATGATTCAGTAATTCATAATTCTGTCATTTCTCATTCACGATT